AAGGTTATGAAGTCTTTAACTGGAAGGCCACACACGATCTCGTTCTTTGCAAGACGATTCAGGTTCTTGGCATTAGCATACCGGAGACGACGATGTCAAAGCATCACATTATGTTATGAGACTTTAGAGAAGAGACACGTGACTTGTTCCGGGATATTATGATTCATGTCGATGATGTAAGCGTTCCCGTCTCTTTTTGATTTCACCAATATCCAGTCTTCAGGGATGATGATACCGGGTTTCAAGATAAGACATTCTTTATCAGTGAAGTGGGTAGAATAGCCTTTGTCGCAGATTTGAGAGACACTCAATAAACTATGCTTCAGATCGGGAGCAAAGTTGACGTTCTCAAAGCTTAGCACTCCATTGGTGACAGTTCCTCTCTGAGTGATCTTCCTGCCTTCACCTCCCACGAAGGAAACATACCCCCCCCCATTAAATGTCTGAATGTCGTGCAGTTGGGAGATGTCTTCGGTCATGTGCCTGGAACAAACGTTGTCGACGTAAACGACATTCCCCCCGCAGCTGTTCCTGCACAATGCGCGGGATTAATGAGATTTAGGAACCCAGGACATAACAACACTGGTTTTTCCCTTGACATTAACAACAGATTTTTCATTTTCAATTTTTGATTTTAAATCACTACCAGAAGCACCATTTGAAAATTGAGATGATTGGATATTTTGATTTTTGGGCACCCATTGGTATTTCGGTTTTGAAATATTCACAGGTGATTTTGAAATGTTTTTCTTTTGTTTTGAGCGATTGGACGGCTAGGATTAGTCGAGGATCCAGACGCTGTCTTTGACGATATCGATCTTGGCTTAGCCGCATTCGATTTCGTCAAAGCACCTCTGGCTGTTTGATTGAAAACCTGTTTATCCTTTTTAAGTTCATCCCTTTTTATGTCCTTACGAACATTCCAATCACCATCACGAAGACGAGATCTCGAGGACTTTCTCGTGAGAGACCTTCCTCGTGACTCATTTTCTCTTCTTGGCGCAGAAAAATGAACAAATTCCCGATTAGGACAATTACGAGCTATATGACCAGCGGTTCCACAGTTAAAACATGTTTGCTTTTTGTCGCAAAAACCGGAACCTCTCTTTTCTGGTTTATTTTTCTTATCAACTCCCTTACTCTTTCCACATGTACAAGTGCATGATTCAGGTTGTGTGACATGTATAGGTGTAGTGTGTGTGCTAGTAACAGAAACATCAGATTTATTAGACACATCACCACAAGCAACATCTGAAGCATCAGAATTAGACACGGAATCATCACCAATCAAATCATCAGTTTTAGAAACAAAAACAATATTGTTTGAAACAGAAACATCATTTTTCAAAACAGAATTATTATTAGCATTATTCTCTCCAGACTCCTGCTTTCCTTGACTTAGAGATGAATCTGCATGGGAAGTAGAAATGTTAGTATCTTTTTCCCTAGCACTACTCTCCGTCACGGGTATAGCAGGTTTGCCATACACAAGAAATGGTTCTCTGTCTATCTCCTCTTGGGTCAAAGGTAAAGCAATATAGTTGTGATTGAAAGGAGGAGGGACACACTCATATCCTAGACCTACTTGTTTTTTATCTTTCCATTTCATTTGTTTTTCAATCATAGTTTCAACTTTTTCACTTGACACATCGAATTTCTTGAAGTTAAAATCAGCATTTTTAAAACGGATCTTCAATGTGTCAAGTTCTTCAGTTACAACAGCAAGTTCTTTCTTAATGTAATTATAGTTCTCACACTTGTTACTGTACTCCTCCTGCAATTTCCTAAAGTCCTTAGTCTTGGCCTCTAGTTGTTCTTTTAATGGTTTCTGGCCTTTCCTAAGGTTGTACCCCTCATGTTTAAGGTCCTCGTTCTCCCTTTTTATCAATTCAATTTGCTCACGTAAAAATTTAACAGTGTTAATGCAAGTTTGAGAACAAGAGATTTCACTAACCTCCTTCTTTTCAAACTCTGGGGTAGTCTGTACCATAAAGGCAAATTGCAGCTCCATCATTTCTTCTTCCGGGTCCATTTCAGCTTTTTCTTCTGGGACATCATTGATCTGGGCAAGGTGAGCATTTTCAGGTCCTGCGATGTTCAGGGCCTGAATCTGATCTTCCCAGTCAAATGACTGAGCCACTACTGCCAGATTCGCCGTTTGGTTGTTGGTGGTAGCTCCCATGCTTCTTCCGTCTGGCACCATTGTTCGTTCACTATTTTCCCTCCTGTCTTGCTTTGGGCAGTCTCTAGCAAAGTGACCAGGTTCATGGCAGTTAAAGCATCTTAATTTGCCCTTGTTGAAGCCGACCTTCTTCTCCGCGTTTATTCCCTAGTTGTTTTTGTCGGTTTTCTTGGAGAATTGCTTGGCCCTGAACACATCCATAGCAATCTACCATGTGATGTCCATCTCCTCAACATCCTATGGATGTATTTGATCAAGGTCAGCAAAAGCAAGCTGAGGAGGTAGCTCGCCAGCCACAAAGGCGTTGTAGCAGTTCACAAGTCCGGTTGCTAAAGCCATGTTCTCATCAGTTTCTTTGGGAGCAGGAGTGGGAATGGGTGCTTTCGAGGAGGAGGCTGCTTATTGATAAAGCACGGATGGTTGAATGTTATGCATCGGTGGAACAACATGAGATTGTGGTTGTGGAGCAACAAAGGTTTGAGGTTGTGGAGTGGTGAATGATGAGAAGGCACTGTTGGATGAGATCCCAAGGTTAGCAGTGGAATATGAATTTACATGATTTATCTCCCTCTGCTTGTCATCAAGGTCGCAAGCTTTGATAATCGCCATGGTTTCTGCAAGACTCAGACGGTTGAGGTCCTTCATCTTCTTGATCACTGAGACATTCATGTCCCATGACTTTGGCAGTAAGTTCAGTAGCTTCTTGTTGATCTCAGACCTTGTGACCAAAATACCAGCAGAGCTCATCTCAGTAGTGAGAGTGATGAACCTTTGCAGTTGAGCTTCTAAGGATTCTCCCAGAATATGATTGAACATATTAAACTTATGCCTAAGCATGTCCTGACGACTCTGCTTCATATCCTCGTTTCCTTCGTATACCTCAATCAATGCTTCCCACAAAGCTTTTGCAGAAGTGTATTCTCTGAAACCCTGAGCAATCTCTGGAGATAGGGCCATGATGAGTGTGGCGAGTGCTTTCTATTGCTCTTCATTTTCTCAAAGTCTTCATCGATGTAGTTTTCAAACTCCTTGTCAATGACTGTTCCATTCTCAAGTGTTGTGGTGATTTGAACTGGTCCTTTCAAGATGCTTCTCCAAATCTTGAAGTCCTTCATCTTTATGTACTTTTCCATGCGGTATTTCCATTCAGGGAAACCCTCAGCAGATAACAAGCGTGGGATTCTAGTAGTGGTACCCATAATTGAGTCCAATTCCTGATGAGCTGTTAAAGTTTGTGATTCCATTTTTTTAATTTTTTATCATTTCTTAATTGAAAATAAAGGTTTGTAAGGAAAAGCAACCGTAAATAATTATAAAAGAGTTCACGTCCGTACACAGACAAAGGTTCACGGTTCACAAACAGTTCACGGTTCACGGTTCACGGTCAACTAACAGTTCACGGTCCAAACAAAGGTTAACGGTCAATAAATGGTTCACTGCCAATGAATGGATCACGTTCAACTGAGAAGAACACAGTCAATGAAGATGAATGGTTCACGGCCGTACATAGAGTTCACGGCCGTAAACACTTCAAACAGTGAAACCGCAAACACCCATAAACAGTTGAGAACAAATGATTTTGATGCTGATTTCGATTCCTTTTGCCTTGAACCTTCACGATCTAATGCAGAAAACACACAAACCACTTGAATAATGACGAAAACGAAGAATCCTTCAACCAAAAACACAACTTGAATACGTTTTGACACCGGTATGGCTCTGATACTAATTGTAAGTCCCACAAACGCGAACCAACCAGTGATCAAACACAATCAAGATGCAAAAACAGTAAGAATTAGAAGGAGTAGAAGCAAAGAAGTTCCAACAATGCATACATTGTATTCAACCGTAAACGTCTAGTACACTTGTAACACACACATACACGTATGGCACATCTGACACGCTATTTATATGACCACCAGTCGTAAACACGTTCACGGCCGTGAACATGTTCACGACCGTGAACCCTACTCGGCCGTAAACACAACCTCAAACACATATTACATGACCCAAAACCCTATCAGACCTATACAGATAGATGCCTAGCCCAAACCAACAAATTATGACCTAACATATTCACCACACACACACACATACACACTAATATATACAAGTCAATGATAAAACTTCAATAAAAATTAAGCGTGCTCCTCGAATGGAATTGAACGAAAATCCAAAACTTTTTTTTGAATGTGTAATGATTTTCTTAGTTGAGAAAGAATAAACTCGAAAACAGTAAAGACTTTTTTTGAAAACGTTTTGCAAAAGATTGTAAACTATCTATATCTATACTGTCATATAATGATAAAGAGAAAGAAAATCAATTGAAATCTCATTTAAAATTTAAAATATCCGGATTTTTTGAGGTTTTAGATTAATACTTTCCAAGATAAGATGATGGTTATATGAATTGCTTAACTTATCATTGCCGTTTTGTAGGGATTCGATTCGACTAAATCACAGGTCGAGAGTTAATTTATGGGAAATTGAAGAATGATTATGGAAACATCTTCAATCAATACACCTAATACGGTATGCAACAAATTAGAGGAGCAGGAGCATAAGCGAAAATTCACTTACATGGAATAGGTGGGATAATTCGATTGGGGAAGGGGCTAATTGACTGCCACATAGTGAAAAAAGTTTTATTTATTAGATTAGGGAATTTCACTTTTTTTCTATGTAATAAATCTACAATATATGAGTATTCTATGTGTATATTGTTTTTTTATTGTTATGGTTAAAGTTGATGGGAGATAAGTCAACGTGTATGAGAGATTTAAAATATGGTTCAACTAGATCGGACCCAAAGACAAAACCCGAAAGCATCCGAACATCACACGGAACTTCATGTCCTCATCGCCTTCAACCGGAGTCCAGAAACACCGTTCCCACTTCCCACTCCTTTGTTTAGCAAAATCTAGGGTTTGATTCTATATTTTCCCAATTAAAAAGCCATCATACTAATTCCATCTCAATTTGTTTCTGCATAATCCAATCAACATTTGATTTCATCATGAGAACTCGAAAAACAGACAATCCCAAATCGCCCCCTGCGGCAAAAAGAACCCCACCGGCTAGAAAATCGGCAACTAAAACCCCTACCACGCCACCACGCAATGCCTCCCAGCAATCAACATCTGAACCCACGGTTACTCCTAAGCGTGCTTCCCTCCCTAGAGGGAAGACCATGGCGACCAACGATACCACACCAACAACTCCAGAAACACCAGGTACATAGTCAAACCTCAAACTTGATTTATGTATACCTTCGCCTTTTGTTTTCTTCATGTGCATAGTTCGAATGAATGATCAAGTCCAAAAAAGAAGTAGTTACTTTTGTTTTCTCCATAGTATTCCGTTTTTACATTCAATTTTCTAAATAACATGAAGGTATCATGATCATTATCATGGTAATCGTTATGTTGAATACCATGCAGTACATTCACTATCCTGCATCGATGTAAGTTCTAAGTTTTTGATGTTATGCATGCAGTTAGTGCAATAAAACCACAGGCTGACACAGTCAAGGCAACTCCGGGAACAAGGTCTGGAAGTAAGAGGACTGTTAAGAAAGTGGTTAAAAAGACTGTTATCAAGAAAAAACCTAAATTGGCTGATGCTAAGGTACAGCCTGATTTAGTTTCAGATGAAAACGATGATGAATTACTCACAGAAAAAGATAGCTTCGAGGAGGTGAAGGATATGGAACATGCAAAGCAGCAAGAATCTAGCCCAAGTGATGCTAAAAACTCTATCAAAGGGGAAGAACATGTTGATGATGTTTGTATGCCCTTAAAAGATGATGAAGATACTATGAAGGATGTTGAAGAGGGGACTGATGTTAAGCCCTCTGTTGAAAGCTCTGATTTAAGAGATGTTGCAAAAGCCATTGATAAACAAGAACCAGAAGTGGATATGAAAGAAGACATGGAAACAAAAGAGAAGGAAAATAAAGAAACCATTGATGATAAATCCTTAAAGATCCAAGAACCCTTTGTAGAAGCTCGAATAGAGGAAGAAGAGGAACCTGAGGAAGAACCCGAAGAGGAACCTGAAGTTGAGCAACTCATTGTGAATCAAGGAATCATCATGGAAAATGAGAAAAAAGTTGAGATTGAAGAAGAACCTGAAGAAGAACCTGAAGAGGAACCTGAAGTTGAGCAACTCATTGTGAATCAAGAAATCATCATGGAAAATGAGAAAAAAGCTGAGATTGAAGAGGAGCCTGAAGAAGAACCTGAAGAGGAACCTGAAGTTGAGCAACTCATTAAGAATCAAGAAATCATCATGGAAAATGAGAAAAAAGTTGAGATTGAAGAGGAGCCTGAAGAAGAACCTGAAGAGGAACCTGAAGTTGAGCAACTCGTTAAGAATCAAGAAAACATCATGGAAAATGAGAAAAAAGTTGATATTGAAGAGGAGCCAATGGAATGTAATGATGATGAAGTTGAAATGGAGAAAGATATGAATGAAGAAGTAAAGAGAGAAGAAGACCTACAAGAGCATGTATGCTCAAGTAATGAAGAAAAGAACAAAGACAATGACATTGACAATGATGTTCATGAAAAAGAGAAAAAAGTTGAGATTGAAGAGGAGCCAATGGAGTGTTATGATGATGAAGTTGAAATGGAGAAAGATACGAATGAGGAAGTAAAAAGAGAAGAATGTCCACAAGAGCATGTATGCTTAAGTGATGAAGAAAAGCAAAAAGCTACTGATGTTCATGAAAAAGAGAAAAAAGTTGAGATTGAAGAGGAGCCAATGGAATGTAACGATGATGAAGTTGAAATGGAGAAAGATCTGAATAAGGAAGTAAAAAGAGAAGAAGATCTACAAGAACGTGTATGCTTAACTGATGAAGAAAAGGACAATGACAATGACATTCATGAAGAAGATGACAAGGGTGTACAACAACAACAACAACAACAACAAGAGCAAAGTGAAACAAGGTTAGAAGAGGAACAAGCAGAATGTAAAATAGCTGTAGAGGAGCGAAAAAGAAGGAAAGAATTTGAGATATTTGTTGGTGGATTAGATAGAGATGCCACAGAAGAAGAAGTAAAGAAAGCTTTTCAATATGTTGGTGAGGTTATTGATATCCGAATGCATAAAGAACTTCCAACCAATAAAAACAAAGGATATGCATTCGTGAGATTTGCTAATAAGGAACATGTAGCACGTGCTTTAGCCCAAATGAAAAACCCTGTTGTATGTTTATGTTTATGGCTTTATGTTTATGCTTCTCTTTTAATATACTATATTTTTGTTTGTGTAGTATAAAATGCTAATAAAAGTTGATTATTATTTATTAGATACATGGAAAGCGATGTGGAACTGCACCTAGTGAGGACAATGATACTTTGTTCTTGGGCAATATCTGCAATACATGGACAAAAGAAGCTGTAAGGCCAACATCTCTCATTTCATTTTGAATTTTTTTTTTTCAATATTTGTGTATATGCTGCTTAACCTTGCCCCACTTTACCTTCAACTTTATCACTTGTATCTGTTTTTTACTATGGTCACATATCACTGCTTTATTACTAGTATCTGCTTTCACGGTTTGTTTATCTGTACAATATCTACCTTTTAACCTTTCCACACTTCACCTTTAACTTTATTGCTTTTATCTGCTTTTTTTTCTTTAGTCACACATCACTGCTTTATTGCTAGTATCTGTTTTTTCACAGTTTGTGTATCCATACAATATCTACCTTTTAACCTTTCCCTACTTTACCCTTACCTTTATTGCTTTTATCTTTAGTCACACATCATTGCTTTATTGCTAGTACTTGCTTTCAATGTTTGTGTACCTGTAAAGTATTTACCTTTTTCAACTTTATTGCTTTTATCTGCTTTGCATCTACTCTTTTTTTTTTTGTCTTTAGTCACACACCACTGCTTTATTCATAATACCTGCTTTTACTTTCATTATTTGTGCATCCATACAATATTTACCTACTCCACCTTCAACTTTATTGATTGTATCTGCTTTTTTTTCTTTTTCTTTTTCTATACTCACAACTCAAAAACCACTGTTTATTCTTCTTTGTGAGCTGAATTTTCATAAGCAGTAGTTGTTGTAGTGTTCTAACTTAAGTAGATAACTTTCTAACAACATTCATATATTGCAAAACAGATAAGACAAAAACTCAAAGATTATGGTGTAGAAGGTCTTGAAAAGATCACACTTGTGTCTGATCCTCAACACGAAGGATTAAATCGTGGGTTTGCATTTCTTGAATTCTCAGGACACCCGGATGCCATGCTGGCATTCAAAAGGCTTCAAAAACCTGATGCTATATTTGGTCACCCTGATAAAACTGTAAAAGTAGCTTTTGCTGAACCCTTACATGAACCTAATCCTGAGGTTTTAAAAGAGATTAAATCTGTGTTTATTGATGGATTGCCACCTCATTGGGATGATGACATTGTTAGAGAATATTTAAAAAGTTATGGTGTTATTGATCGGATTATGCTTGCAAGAAATATGTCATCTGCTAAAAGGAAAGATTTTGGATTTGTTGATTTTACTACTCATGATGCTGCTCTTGCTTGTATTGATGGGTTGAATAAAAGAGAATTGGGTGATGAGAAAGTAAGAGCATGATCTTTTTATCATAATTGATTAATTTCTACTGTTTTTTTTTTTGTTGTGTGTTTTAAAAATTTATGATTCTAGATTGTTTCACAAAAAGTAGTGTCTGATAAGCAACTGGAACTTTGCATTCACAAAATACCATTGTTTTGATGGTATTTTGTGAAGAAAAAAAAACCAAATAGTTTGTTACCCTTTTATGGTACCTTTTTAAAGCAATGGTGTTTTGTAAAAAAAAAAAACAAATAGTTTCTTGCTTATTGGTGACATTAATTCTTAAGAAACCATTATATTTTGTGTATTTTCACAGTTTAGCCACTAATAGTTTATTTATTTTTGGGTTAATCTCATAAAAGATCTTATATTTTGTGTTTTTTCCGGATTAAACCTTAACTTTATTTTTTGCCTGAAAAAGACCTTGTACTTTTTCATTTTTTCCGAAAAAATTCTCAACTTTGTTTTTTTGTTTTTCCAAAAAAAACCCTTGCATTTTACAATTATATTTGGAAAAAAATGACTAAGAGGGCCAGATCAGAAAAAATGAAAAAGACAAGGTCTGGGAAAATTACAAAAAGGGTTAATGTCATAACTCATACATGGGTAACAAACTTTTTTTTTTTCTTTACAAAACACGGTTGTTTTACAAAAGTAATATCTGATAAGCAACTGGAACTTTGTGTTCACAAAAACCTTTATTTTAATGGTGTTTTGTGAAGAAAAAAAATACAAATAGTTCGTTACCCACATTTATGGTACTTTTTTTAAAGATATGGTGCTTTGTAAAAAACAAATAGTTTCTTAACCCTTAAAAAGCCATTATATTTTGGACAGTTTCATTGTTTAGACACTAATAGTTTATTTATTTTTTAATAAAACCCATGAAAGTTCCAGACTTTTTTTCCAAATTAACCGTTTTGACCTTCACATTTCACATGTAAATTTGTTATATCAGGCTTTACATGAAATACTCAAAATCAACCACTTTGACCTGATATATCATATCAGGTCAAAATGGTTAATTTGGAAAAACGTCTGAAAATTTTATAGTTTGGTTGGAAAAAATAAAGTATAACTGGTTAAATCTCAAAATTGCCCAAAATATGATGTTTTTTTTTTTTAATTTTTTTCCCCTGTAATCTACCCTATTTATTGTTCTTTAATTGATTCAATTGTATAACAAATTATACATGTTGCTAGATTAAAGTGAAAGCAAGGCTTTCAAATCCTTCACCTAAAACTCAAGCTGTGAAAGGTGGAATAGCTGGAGGCTTTCGATATGGTCATGGAAATGGTGCTTCCTTTCAAAGATCTGGTATTATATAAAATAAAACACACTTTAATATAAAAAATATATACAAGGAAAAATAAATATAATATCAATGCACTTTACTTTTACCTATAATAGCAACAAACATACATTTTGCTACCAATATCTCAACTTTATTTCTTACATATTGCTATTATTAGCAAGGAAATGTAAGTATTTTTCTATTTTGTGTGAAGAATATGTGTAAAGAAAAATGAAACTTTATTTGTTACAATTTGGTCTATAATATAGTGTTGAAATCTTGATTATATATAATGTTTGTTTATTTTTTCAGGTAGGGGTTTTGGAAGAGGTCCATATCCTAACAACAATATGGAATTTACACGAGGTGGCAGAGGTTTCTATCAACATGGTCAACATGGTCAATATGGTCAACATGGTCAAACCAGTAGAATGGGTTATGCAGAGGATTACCCGCCAGCTGGCGCTCATCCTTCTTTCAGAGGGAGACATGATTTTGGAAGAGGTTATTGAGTTATCTGTTTGAATATTTATCATTGGTTTTTGTGTTTCTTTTCTTTTTAATTGAGCCATATTGATTTGATTCTATTCTCTGCATCATTTTAATTATAGACTTGTTTATTTACAAAAGTTAAAAATTAACCATGATAAAATCTCATTAAAACCCTAATAAGATTAGGGCAACTTATGTTAAATCATTATGTTTTGGGCAATTTTTATTGTTTGACCACTATAACCTTATATTTTTTTTCAGTCAAACCATAATCTTTTTGGACAATTTTCCAAATTAATCATTTTGGCTTTTGATATAACAGCCGGTGAAACCAGAAATAACAGGGTCAAAATGGTCAATTTGGAAAACTGTCTTGAAACTTTTATATTTTGGTTGAAAAGTATAAAGTATTAGTGAAGGAATGAACAATTCCATTCCATCATAAGTTCATAACACATAGCTAGCTATCAATTGATGTTGCAGGAGGGAGATGGAATAATTTCAGGGGTCCACATCAGCAATCTCAAGGCCCTATGCCATTCCCACCTAGATATGATGATGATCATCATCATCATAATCATAATCATCATCATCATCATCATCCTATGCCTATGAGAGGACCACCATTTATGCATGAAGAACAATTCAACAGACCTTATGGTGGTGGAAGGCCCTATGAAGACCCCTACATATATGGAGATTCTTCACGTGGTGTAAAACGTCCTTATTATGCAGTATGTTTACTCTCTCTCTCTCTCTCTCTCTTTTTTTAAATTTAAAGTTAAGTTCAAGAAATAGCAATGTACTTCTCTTGATTTGCTTATTATAATATCATACTACAATTTTTTATTTCTATTACAACATTGTAATTAAAATGATCTACTCATTGTAGAAATACCATAAAAATTTTGGGAATTTTTTTGAAGTATAATGTTTTAATAAGAAAAAAAGTTGAAAGTACAATACTATAATTGGATAAAAAATATTTCAGTTAAAAATTTGTTGGTTTTTAGGAGCAGGATCCTGTGTATATGGAGCATAGCAGAGTTCGGCCTCGTTTGGAGTACCCTGAGCCTCCAATTTCAGCTCCTGCATCTCATTTAAGAGGTTTTCTTTTTTTAAAAAAAAAAAAATCTATAATTAAATGTTTATGTGAAGCCTAATTTTTAATTATTATCCTTCTGTTATTGTAGGAGGTGGTAGTGGCATGCATTCTCGAGACTACTATAATAATAATTATGATGTGAGTAAAATTATTTCATTTATACTTGTATTCTATCACACCATTGCACTTTCAAGTTATTATTTTTTAGTTTTTTGATAATCTTATTTATTGCAGTATGAGGGTCCATATTCATCTTACTATGGTGGTGGTGACCAGCGGCCTTATGGTGGCAATCAACCTTATGGTGGCCGATATTATTATTAAACTATTTAACTACTGGTAAAAAAAAAAAAATTCTAAACCCGTCTTTAATTTTCCAAATTTAGTTTCTTTGTATAATTCTGATTCTTTTTTATTTTTCAATAAAATGTGTCCAGGTGTACAAGATTTGAATTGCTGTGCTGGCATGTTCTTCTCTCTCTCTCTATCTCTATCTCTCTCTGAAGGAAAGCCTTTTAAAATCTTTTTTTAAATTCCTGTTCTTTCCTTTCCTTCTGAACTTGTTTGTTGTCTTCCATCATTCCATGGCTTTCTTAGACATATATATTGGGTGCTTAATCTTTAGATATGGTGAAGGAGTTTAGTCTTCTAAGTAAGAAGATATTAGGTATCGATTTGGGATCTCAGAGGTTATATATATATATACATATATTTCCTGAAGTTTAAGTGAGAAAGAAAAGTTTGAAGTAATATAGAATCTAAGCACTGTAGATGAGACTTGTGGATCTTACAAAACTGGAAATAATTCTCTTGATGGATTGTATGCTTTATAATGGGTGTTCAAATTCAAACAGTATCTTTCAATTAAGGTTTCTCTATGTTTTATATAGATTAGGATTTGATCTTGGGTGTTATTTCAAGAAAATAAGTTGAATATGTTATTTCATACTTTGAGAAATGCAAGGCTTTTACAAGTGTCACTTGTCTTAGGAATTGATTGTAAGGTTGAAAATAAAGGTTGCTATTAGTAAAGATACTCACATCACATCACATGACATGACATGATATGATATGATAGAATATGGAGTCTGGTTTAGTTATTTCCTTGCTGTAGGCTTGTAACTTGTTAGCTTCTTTTGCATTCAAAAAGGTAATTTTGTTGGAGAAATAGCAACCTACTTTATCCTTTTTTTTATATATAGCGATGTACTTACAATTTTCAACTGATTATAACATCTTTTAACCTGAAAATGATGACATGGCAATGGTTGTTTCCATGTCATTTGCCATGAATTTTTCTTAAATTTAAGTAAGTTATTAAATATTATTTATGTTATGGTAAAAGTTAAAGCTATGAAAAGGAAAGGTACATTGCTATATTTTGCAATTTATCTTTTCTTGTAAAATTTAAGTTCAATTATTTGTTGCCCATGGTTCCAAATTTGTAGGTTTCTGCTTTTGTCTGGCCTCATTCGAAGCTCTCTTAAAGTATTTTTTTAAATATTTTTTTAGGTAGAGAATTTAGAAGCATACGATGTATGTATATTTATGTGAATTAATGAATACATGCATTTATGGTTTGTTGCAACTTTTGCTATCAAATATTGTTTGTTCTTCCCTTTACTTGTATCAATTGGATTGATGATTAGGTCTATTTATGTAGATGGTTGATCCTTTTTTGTGCAAAAAACATATTCCCTAGTTTCTTTTGGTAAATGTATAAATAAATTTATGATTTTAATGTCTAAAAGTTTTGTGAAATATATATCTTTTAGTAAAATATATAAGTTATTATATATCGTTGGCTACCAACGTAGAGTTTCTTAAACGACGCTTTAGCATAGAGAAATTAAATATTCTTTTACTTTTTGTTCCTACTATCTCCCTACATATTTTAAACAATGACAAATGTCATTCAGTTTAATTTAAATTTGATTTGATTGCGATGTTAAATTTGTACACTTGTCATTACTTAAAATGGTAGGAAGAAAAAAACAAAAGGTAAGAAGATATTTAATTTCTCTTTAGCATATGACATGCAATGGTTTCAAGATCTTTCTTGGAGTTTTTTTTGTTGGTTAGGAGAAGACATTTTGAGAAATAAGTAGGGTTTGAGAGAAAAAAAATTGATATTTAAGTTTATGGCGTGATAAGAATTGGAGGATGATATGTATATTTACAGTGGTTGAAAAAAGGTTAAAAAATTGAATTAAAAAAAAACGCTAGTTTTTTTATATAAAAAAGTAGTTGATATGCGAATTGGGGTAAAAAATGATTGAATATATAAATCTCTCTCTCTCTCTCTCTCTCTCTCTCTCTCTCTCTCCAACGACCCAATGTCATTTAATCCCTCCACACTGGGCATGTCACTATGGTAGGGCGATGTGCATCGAGCATGTCGAGTCACTCCTTCAAGCCTAAAGAGTAGATTGCATTTGTGTAAAATGATACTATTTGTCTTTTTATTGTTTTATAAAGGGCATATTTCAGAAAAATCAAACATATTTTTATCTAGTTCTTTAAAAAACCATTATATTATTTCTTGAGTGAATTAATAGGGTGTTTGGAACCGGTTATTTAACTAATTCAACAAACACTTCTTGATAAAAATGCTTATTAGCTTATGTTTGTGACAAAATTGAGTTCATAAAAATGTTTAGATTAATCTATATGATAGTAAGAAGCTACAATTTGATAAGCCGATTTTAAAAATAATGTTTAGATAAGCTTATATAATCATTTGAGATGAATAATTCACAAGTACTTTTCAAAATTAGGAGTGTGACTTTTTCAAAACTCATTTTTAAAGGGGTAAAAAATATTTTCAAAAACTATTTTCTGTTTCCCAAACATTTTTTTTAAAGTTTGTTGGCTTTTTGAAAAAACTAATAAGGTAATATGCATTTTTCAAACTTAATCCCAAACACCTTTTAAAACCGTATATTTTATTGAAAGTCTAATTTAAAGCTTTCTAACATAAAAAAACCCAACATATTTTCATCCAACCATAAAAAACCATTATATTTTTTTCCTTGTGTTAAAAATTATATATTTTCATTTTTAATATAAGGGATTGTAACAAAAAAACCCTTAAGAGCCGTTTACCTAGCATTTGTGGTTGTATAGGTTTAGTGGTCTCAAAACCTTAAATTAGACAATTTCAAAAAATACTTTAACGCACTAAAAATAGAGAAGTTAACTAAACTAACCAAATGTTTATGACAATTTAAAGAAGATAATCATATATATTATTTTACAAAATAACCACCTTCTTTGGAACATTGCATGCTAGAGTAGAGTCCGGAATCTGGAGTAGCCATTTCGGAGTGCCCATTTTGTTAGAGAGTAAATTCCCACAAATATTCATTTCAAAGTTAAGAGTCTAAACATGCTAACACTAAAATAAATTGAACAACCAAATTCCAACCTACCATTTAATTCTCACCTACTACTTTAATATCACACCAACACCCACCTAACTAGCTATGATTTCTCATCTACCACTTAAATTCATTAGATCTCCCACATACCTCCATATTCAAAACTTATTTAAATCAGTTTAGATCCTAAAATAATTTACACCAAAAGCCATTAACTCCTCTAAAAAAATGTCTTCTGACCGGTCGAAATTCATTCCCATCGCATGCAGTTCCTTAAGCTCCAACAATACGCTAAGGTCTTGGGGCATCTATGAATCTATGATGAATATGATAGAATGCAGAGTACTAAAAGGCGAAAGCAGAATATAAGGAACCCAATCAAAAAATGTAAGGTAAGCTACAAGACATTGAAGAAAAGAAAAAAATGGATAATGGATATAAAGAAATAGTATTTGATAAAAAAACTTGAACGTGAGCGTGAGACTGTTGACTGTAGAATATGAGTTTTGGGAAATTTGTGAGAAAATGTTGGGTTTTCTATGCATCAAATACACTCTAAACTAGGTAGCGGAAAAATCAAAACTACGATATACCTAAGTGTACATGCAACCTATGGATCAATGGTTTCATGCTAATTACATATACCATAGAAAACATAAAACATAAAGAAGAAAAACATACCTCTTATGTAGCCATTGATCTCCATGCTTGAGATCTTGATCCTCTATGAAGTTGCTTGGATGAGAGGACCCAAACCAGAATCCCTCTAATGGTATCACACCACTAGCAGTCTCATAGCTATCAATCTTAGTAGTCTTTTCATTGACCAGAGCGGGACTATTTGCTACTAAAGAGTGGAATAAAAAATAACTAGGAGAAGATTCAATTTCACAAACCCTAAGAGGGTTAGAAATCTTCCCTAAGAGGGGGAGGAAGAAGGGTTGGCGAAACTTCAAGCCAAGATGCAATGAAGAATGAAATCCGTAAGACCCTATTTATAGCATTGGATCCATTCCTAGGTCTTTTACTTATCCCCATGTGGAATAGGAGCCTAACAACAAAATTCACTCCCTTTCCCATGCGGGATGGAGTGATTTCATCCAACCCTAATTCCTTAAGGGTTCTGGAACATTCCTGATTAACCAACCATTGATTAATGAATATTCAACCATTTAATTAATTAAATTGTTAATTAATTCCCAAAATATTTTCCAATTAGTTTCTAATTAATTATAATCAATTTTCATATATATATATATATATATATATATATATATATATATATATATATATATTAGTTTTTGGTAATCTTATTTACTGCAGTATGAGGGTCCATATTCATCTTACGATGGTGGTGGTGACCAGCGGCCTTATGGTGGCAATCAACCTTATGGCGGCCGATATTATTATTAAACTATTTAACTACTGGTAAAATAAATAAATTCTAAACCTGTCTTTATTCTTTAATTTTTCAAATTTAATTTCTTTGTATAATTCTGATTCTTTTTTATTTTTCAGCAAAATGTGTCCAGGTGTACAAGATTTGAGTTGCTGTGCTGGCATGTTCCTCTCTCTCTCTCTCTCTCTCTCTCTCTCTCTCTCGGAAAGCCTTTTAAATTTTTTTTTTTAAATTCGAGTTCTTTCCTTTCCTTCTGAGCTTGTTTGTTGTCTCCATGGCTTTCTCAGAGGCAACTTCTAGCTCCGCAGCTGAAACGGAGGCAACTTACATAGCCAGTCTATGGCGTCCAACAGTTAATCCGCCTCAACAAGCAGCAATTGTAACCACAACTCCACAGATCATCGCAACACAGCAAACATAGATACTTGTTTCTCAGTAGTAATCGTTTCCACACAGTTTGGGTACCGGAGCCTGGATTCTTCACAATATTCAACCGCAACCACAATATTCATCGATGATCCACCCACACATCGCCATGGAAAGCGTGCCTCACGTTCCACTGTTCATATAGCAACCACTGGTTCTTAACCCGTTCATACAACAGGCTCAAGGTCCAATCGTGGAAGCATCTCAGCCACAAGTCACAGGCGTGTAGACCTCGATCAACCAAGGATCAAGCTCCTACAGACCTGGAGTCCATATCTCAGTAGCACCAGAACTCACCCCCTCCATGGCGACTGCTCAACCATTCAACCCGTTTGCATAACAGTGCACGGGAGCAAACCCATACCTAGTTCACGCAGCAGGGCAATACGTATTTCAACAATTTGGGTCACAACCAAACTTGCAACAATATCAACCGTACATCTCGCCGACATCCATGTACAACTAGATGTACGCGAACCCCTACCAGACACAACAACATATGGCCTATGGAGGTATGTCGTACTCGTACATGGACAACCCCCATGCAAAGTGAAAGCTCTAATGTAACATCCCAAGTTCAGAAGCAAGAAGTTGAAGGGTGCAAAGTGTAATCTCGAAGAAGGGACTCGACGAGTAGGTACGCTTACTCGCCGAGTCGGAGCGGGTTTGGGTCGCGGTTTAAGTGGCCAACTCGCCGAGTCGGCGGCTTGGACTCGACGAGTTGGTGCTGGACTGAGAAAACCCTAATCTCGGGGGTTACACCCTATTTAAAGGAATTTATGTCCTTCTCTCAGCCTCCTTATTGCCCTTGAGAACCAGAAAACCCTAAGCTCGTGTGTGTGAGGCCTTTGGAGGGAGATTGAAGCTTGGAAGTTGTTTCTAGTGGAAGAAACTTGAAGATCAAAAGGGCTTGCATCAAGAGAGTGGTGTAGATCCAGAATCTACTGAAGTTTGGGCACATCTTGGAGGTAATAAGCTGTTACCTTCACTCTTTTGCATCTGGATCTATTCATGTAGGAGATTTGGGGTCATTTTGGTGTGTTTAAGATCTATTTCGGGTTTGGAGCTTAGATCTGAAGTTGCTACCCCAGATCTAGACTTGTGTTGGTCTGGAATGTCATAAAGCATCAGTCAATGAGTTGTTGGTGAACCCCCTTTGTCTTAAACCCTAGCCCTAGAGTGATTTTGGACCTTTAACCCCTTGGTTTCACGTAAAGTTTGCAACTTTACGAGGGAGTTATGCCATAGAAGAGTGGATCTATAGTTTGGAGCCCCTGCATGGCTCAAAAAGCCTCTGTATGGATAAAGTACTGAAGGGACTCGGCGAGTCACATGGGTGGACTTGGCGAGTCACATGAAGATAGGCATGGACTCGACGAGTTGAAGAACAACTCGGTGAGTCTGTTGAAGATTGCCTTGGACTCGGCGAGTCAGGTCGCAGAACCCCTAACCTGTTCTGGTTAAGTCGCAGATCAGTGAGTCGAGGGGTGACTCAGT